GAAATGGTTTCACGGGATTCAGTCAATTGTCTTGATCGTGGGATATCGTTGAGAAGATAAAGGAGATTGTCACTATCCAGTAAATTTTTTTTATAGAAGAGTGTTAAGGATGGATCTAAAATCCCCTGGGTGAAATGGGAAACGGTTTGTAGACCGTGAAAGAATGGTGGCTTGAGAATTAGGAATATGCAGTGGTTTAATTGGGCGCTTCTTGGTAAAAGGTTGTGGCGAGGTGTTACTTATTCTAGTTCATTATAGGTGCAGGTGTTGAAAGTTAGGTATGGTATATTAGCTTCTTCTATTCAGCATCCATCAATCCACAACAGATGTTCTTTGTGGTGGCGTGATTTACTGGAGGTTATTCATCAAGGAAATTCATAGCTGAATGAGAAGTTGGATAGGAGTATGGGTGCAAGTTTGCACACTTTTTTTTTAGAAAGATAAGTGGGTAGGCAGGGTGTGACTGTGTGAGGCATTTCCGCGATTGTTTGCAGTGGCGAGGAATGTTAAATCTTATGTATTGGAGAATGGTTTTCATGATGGCACTAACGGGGTTTGGGATGTTAGTTGGCGAAGAGGACTCTTTCAACGTGAGATCTCAAACTTTAATCTTTTGTTGGAGCTTGTAGATGGAGTTTTTATTAAGGTATTATAAGAAGATAAATGGGTATGGAGGGCAAATTCTTTAGGTTGTTATTCAGTGCAATCTACATATTCATGACTATTTGAACTTTTTGGTGGTTCTAATAGTGTAGATCAATGTACGGATGACGCCTTGCGCCTTCCCTCTTGGCAATTGTTATTGAATGCACTTCCCTATAAAGATTTACTGATTGATCATGGTGTTTAAATTGATGATATAACTTGTTGCTTCTGTCATGGTTTAGAAGAACTTCCAACCCATTTGTTTTTAACGTGCTCAGTTTCATCTCAAATCTGGTACTTTATTGCTCGCTGACTTAGATTCTCACTAGTTTTGCCTTCAGAATTATCGACTCACTTGCTTTCTTGGGTTAATGTTAGTTGTAGTAAAAGAAAAGGGATATGTTTATTGATTGTTTGTGTAAGTATAGTGTGGTACTTATGGTGTTTTGGATGAGAGAAAAGTCCTAAATTCTATTATTCTAAGGTCCTGGAAATGACTATCATTTGTTAGTAAAGGAAAAACTATTGTTTTAGCTGAATGGTATCTAAACTCACAAAATTGTATCTGTCTTTAACTTTGTATAAATATGTTTTTACTTTTTATTTTTCTTTGTAAATATTAGTTTTTCTTTATGCATATAGATTTTGAGTTCCTCTTGAACTCTAAGAATATATGTTTTGCCTATAAAAAAAAGATAATAAACTTTAATTTTTAGTTTAAATTATACTTTTTTTTTTTTAGTTTATATCTTGATGTCTATCATTATGCGGGAAAATAATGTTACATCTTTGTAGGTATTTTAAGTCTTGGTTAGTAAAATAAAATCTAATTTTAATCCTTTAAAATGTATATTTATTTTTTTATTTTTTTAAATTCATATTTTCAACTTTATCCTATAAACATAAAATTATATTTTTTTTATAATTTACTTATTAATGTTATTGATTTAAAAAGTTTAAAATGAGTTTATCTTTATAAATATGATTAATTTAATTAGTCCTTTAACTGTTTTTCTATATTTTAATACTCATAAATTTAAACTGTTTTACAATATCCCTGTTACTTCTTAATAATATCATATTATGTATCTATGTCACATTAGTTATTATTTTAAAGTAACATATTACGTTATTATTTAATAAAATAATTTTAAAAAATATAATTCAAATTAAATAAATTTAAAATAATTTAAAAATATTCTATTAAAAATCTGATTAAATCAAACCAATAAAAAAAAGAAGAAGAAAAAAATAGAAAGAGAGAGGACATAACACGTTCCTATTTACTGTCCCATCGCAATACGAATTATCATAACTCCGTAGTAAACTTTTTCGTCTAGCCGACAATAAACACAGCATTCCCAACTCAAGTAAATTATATCTCCGTGATAAATAAAATTGATATAATATTAAGAATATTTGTAAATTTACTTTTTAATTAAGATTAGTATTTTATGTTCACAATATTTCTAAATTTTTAATATTAATTTTCATTATATAATTATTGACATAAAATTTTAATTTTAATAAAAAATAACACAAAAATATTTATGAAATTTTACCATTTTGTCTTAAAAGAGTGTTAAAAATATATTCTTTAATATATTTTTTTAATATAATTTTATTATTAACTAAAATTTATTAAAAATTAAAAAAGTGTAAAAATATTATTAAATTAAGAGCAAAAATAATTAAATTAAGAGTGAGACTCGCATACTTTTTATAATTTTTTGTAAATTTTAGTTAATAAATAAAAATATGTTGGAGAATATTGCTAGCATTTTTTCTTGTTGCAAAATGATTCCTAATATGACCTAGAACAAAGAGAAATTTGTTAAAAAATACTAAAAAAATAATTAAATTCTATTCTTAATTTAATAATTTTCAGTCATATTTTTATAATTTTATTAAATATTAACTGATAATAGATAATGTGCTAAAAAAATATATTGCTAACATTTCTAATTTAGATAACAAGTATTTTAAGAGTTTTTATTCATATTTTTATTTCAAATAATGATAAAAAAATAAATCTGATTTTTTTAATTTCTAAAAAAGTATATTTTTTAGTATTTTAGATGAGTGAATTAATTTTAATATAATGTTACATTTTTTTAGAAGAGTGAATAAGATAGTATAATTATTTTGATTGTATGATTATTCTTACTTTATGTTTTAACATTTTTTTACACCTTAATTTTTATTCTTTTTTGTTTCTTTTTTTTAAGCACAATAATAAACTTTAAATTTTAACAGAAACACAAGAAATAATATTCTTTCTATCCTTTTACTCTTTTGACTATGTAACCTTTCTTATATGATATTTTTACATTTTTTTTCACTCTTATTCTTATGATATTTTTTCAAGCACAATAAAATACAGAGTGTTTTCATTTTTTTTTTTAAATAAAATACAAATCTTTCAAGAAAGAAAACTAAAATAATTTTTTTATTAATCTTAAATTAATAATTTTTTAAAACTCACTCTAACATTTTCCATATATCATTGTGTTGTCTTATTGTTTCTTTTTCTTTTTATAAGTTTTCACATTTTTGTATTTTAGATAAGTATTTTAGAATTTATTCATGCTTCTATCTTTTAATTTGTCTTTATTTTTTAAAATAATAAACGATAGTTGAATTTTAATGTCAATTGTAAAATAAGTTCTTTGACTTTTGTATCTTTAAAAATTTAAGTATAATGTCAATTTAAGATTAAAAAAATTAGTTTGAAAGAAAAAAAATTTAATTTTGTTATTTTTAGAATTTTAGGTCAGAATGTTTTTCTTTGGTTCTTCTTCCTTTAATCCATTCATAATGATAGTAATGCAAAATAAAACAACGTAAAACTTAAAATTCAAACAAAATACAAAATCAAATATTTTTATTTTGAACTTTTTTTTATATTTTAAATTAATATTGAACTCAAATTTTTTAAAATATTAAATTTAAATAAATTATTATACTATTTACTTAAATAGATCTTATAAAAATTCAATCATTTATTATTATAATAATATAGTCAACTTAAAAGGAATGATCAGAAATAAAGTTTAAAATACTTCACTAAAACATAAAAAATGTGAGGACTCAAAAAATAAAATATAACACAATGACATATCCAAAAGATTAAAGTAAGTTATGAAAATTAAATGAGACATCCAAAAGATTAAAGTAAGTTATGAAAACTAAATGAGGTTGATTTGAGTGATAAGCGGCTCAATATCTCTTAAGTAAGATTTTAAGTTTGAATTTTTGTGTATACAAAACATCTTTAGTAGTAAACTCATTAGTCATTTACCATATTCAAGGGCGCGACCCTGATTAAATCTAGATTATTTTAGATGAAAAAAAAAAGTAAGTTTTGAAAGATTATTTATTTAATAATAATGAAATAATTTTTTTTAAAGAAATGTAATTTTTTATTTTTATTTTAAAAATTAAAAACTCATTGTATTGTATTTTTTTTTAAAATCCAACAACAAGGCTGTGAAAAAAATATTTACTCACTCAGTTATCTTAACTCCAAAAAAAATCTATCTATTTTATTTTTCAGATTTTTTTAAAAATTTTTGAGTTTTATTTTATTACCAACTGTTATTTATTTGAAATGAGAATTAAACTAAAATTCGGTATTCACGCTTATAATAAACAAAAAAATTTGAAACTTTTATATAAATACTTCATAAGAACTTTTTATCAATATATTCTTTAATAATTTCTTTATCTTTTTGTTCACTTTTCTACTCTTCTCTTTTCAAAAAATATAAAAAATAAAAAGCGTTTAAATTAAATCGAACGTGTCAAAGGTGCGGCAATTTCAGATTTGTGAGACGGGGTGTGCAGTATAAACTGGACAAATATTAGATGACGTGTGTTAAAGTGTGTGCACAAATCATTATTCCTTGACGCCTTTTAGTTCGTGCGATTTCCTTTCTGACTTTGACGGTCGCGTAATATTTCCGTTACCTGTGCTTGTGCCTCTCACAGTGCCTTTTCCTGTGCAGGATTGAACCATTCCACTTTTCCAAAATGGCTCTTTTTTTAATGCAAAAATAGTGTCCTAATGAAAATATAAAATTTAAATTAATTTGTGTACGCACACAAGTAGAAGACAAAATATGAAGAACATTATGGACACCAAATTTTAATTTGTTCTCTTCTAGATATGATTCTCTTCTTCTCTTCTTCTAGATATGATTCGCCAGAATTCTAAGCAAACACTAACTGGTGCCTATGTTTCTCCCACATCCTTTGAGAAAAAACTTAACAAAGGGAGATGATTTTTGAGCTTTTATGAACTTAACCCAACAATATATATCGATGGTAAACATGGGTTTCAAGTTTCAAGCACCTCATTTGAGCATCGTTTCATGGTACCTTTTCAAAGAATCTTGCTTCTGCAAGAGGATTTGCCTTCGGAATTTCTGAATAAAAAGATCAGCCATATGGTCAATTTCATCCTCCATTTTGAACTCTTGCCCTGCCTCTTCCTTTGAACACTTCACCAAATCAATCACAGAGCCTTCAAGATCCAAACCCTCTGACTCAAACATTGTGTGTGTAAGATCCGGGTACTTGCCATCACCCCCATCATCATCTTCTCCATACCTATAGTAACTTTCATGGCCATCATGATCTTTGTCCTCCACCACTACTTGGGTCTCATTAGGATTGGACACTACCTTGTTGGAGTGTGCATTGTCATTGAACACCACAGTGTCCTTGTTCTGGTCATCACTGCCATGTTCCAACGAGCAATCTTCTTTGGGAAGTGAATGATGACCCAAAAGAGATTGGAACTTATCAGAAATAGTGCTCATCACATACTTCTTGTTCATCACAAGTGAGAATATTATCAACCGAGCCTTGATGGCGTTTGTTTTGGACTTGAGAGCTAAAGATTTTGATTTGGCCATTGAGCTCAAAGCAGCTAGCAACTTCAAAATTGTAGAAGCTCTCTTCTTCATATTGTCACCAATGAAGAAAATAAAATTGTGTCTATAAATAATAAAAGCAAAAATATGAGATTTTGCAGCTTTATTCAAAAGAGGGGTCACAAAATTTGTAAACTAGGCAATATTTGTGTTTGGGTGAGAGAGGATAAAGGAAGGAGAGATTGTGAAGAGGATAATTGCTATTGAAATGAGTTTGTGGCAAAAAATGTGTTTTTGACACGAAAGAGTACAAGGAAAGTACGTGGGTTTATATAGGACGAGGTGCATATTGGCAGTGACAACTGGGTTTGTCTGAGAGAGTGAAACATGGTAAAGGAAAGAGTGGAGATTAAGAAATGAAATTATGGAAAAGAAAGAGGGCAAAAAGGGAAAGTTGGTGACAGAATATATAATGTGGGACACGTGGTTTCACAATGGGTCTTTACTGAGCAATGTTTGGTTCAGTATGTGTGAAGATAAATATTTTGGTGGGTATTGTACCAAAAACAACTTTAGCGGGTAACAAAGCCAGACATAATTATGAGTGGGGTTGGGTTGGTGGGAATTTTCCGATGATAGTTTCAAATTGGTATTTATTGTACTTTCTCCAATATACTTTCTAAATAAAATTTTCAATTTTAAAAATATTTAACAAAAATGTTAAAAAATATAAAATGATTTGAAAATAGAGAGAAAAATGGGGTTGAAATGATGAACCAGATACACTCATCTTTGGTTATAAGTTTAAGAACGAAGTTTAAGATGCTTTTATATAATGGTATAAATTTTGAAGTTATTATCATGGTATAACTTTATTTAATTATTATCTTTTACATAAAATACCACAAACAATTGAATATATAAAAATGATATGATACTTTAATATTTTACTTATTAAATTTACAATGATATTTTTTTTACGTCAAATATAATGATATTTGTGTAATTACAATCCATTAAAACATCAATCCATAGCATAACTGAATCGAGGAATCTTCAAAGGCTTTTTAAAGAGTTATATTTTATAAATGATTTTTCTTTTTTAGTCGCTTGATTTTATAAAAGGTAATAATATGAACTATTTTATTACCTTAATGCCGGAACAAAAAAACACCTTTTTAAACATTACTGTTAAAGATATTTGTGAAAAAATAATTAAATTTTATATTATTAATGAGAGTACTGTATTAAGAAAGTGAGATATTTGTAAAATTTTTTTTTTTTACATTTAGCGACCTATATTTTAAAGATGAAAATTGACTGAAAATAACAATTGTATATAAGATTAAAATTGATTGAAAATTATATGCTCTTTTATCTATTTCTCTTTTTTTTCTTAATTTTATTCTAAATTATTTAGATAAAAGTTGCTATTTAATTTTTTATTATCTTATATAAATTTTTAGAGTTTTAATGAATAATTGTGTTTATATTTATAAAAATTTCTTATTATCTTATATTTTGTGATTATAGAGTTAAATTAAAGTAATTTAAAAAATATAGTTTCATTTTTTTAATGAAAATACATATATAATATCACTTTAAAACTTACATTTTTTAATTATTAAAAATATATGTTTATTTAAAAATAACATACATATTCATTTCACACATTTCTAATGAGTAAATTTAAATGCACAATCAATTTGAAAAATAGGTAAATGTATGACTTACAATTTCACAAACATCAACTTAACAAAATTAAATAATTTTTTATATATTTTTTTCCGTCGATAATCGATGAAATGTCTTATATCTCTATGTATGCATAATTAATTTACTAAAAATATTATATTAAATGTTAAATATTTATATTAATTTTTAATAATAATGGAAATTCATTAGATGTATTATATTTATTGCATGGAAGACTTTTATGTTAGAAAATATTATTATTGAATAAGAAAATAATTATTACTATATTAAAAATGAAAAAAAATATGTATTAAAAAATATTATTTTTACTATTATTTAAAATAATTTTAATTTATAAAAATATTTTAAAATAATTAAATTCAAATATAGATTAATATAGTAAGAGGGATTAGTTCAAATGATACATGTTTAGTCCTTCTTAAGAAAATTCTCAAGTTTAAATATTGTGAATAGGAGAAATTGTCACTGAAAGAGCTAATTCCACTATTTTATGAATGTATTCAATACGATTATGCATGTGATCTATACCAAAGAAAGTACAAATTAATATAAAAATATAAAATAATAAATATTTATTTGTTAAATGAATGATAAAAAATAATTATTGCAAATTTAATACTTAAAATTGTATATTCAAATATGCAATAAAAAAGTATTAATTTTTTATTATTTAGAATAATTTAATATATGGAAAAATATTAAAATAATAAAAGTCAATTGCATATTAATATATTAAATTTAAAGTAGTAAATAGATATGATCTTTTTAAAAAAAATTATTGTAAATAAAATATTGTAAATTTTTTAAAATTAAATATTTATTAAAAATAATTTTATTACTTTATAATTTAAAATATAATTCAAAGTGACAAAATGTAAGTCCATAGTAATATAATTTTAAAATTTTAAAAATTTTTATGTATGAATGATTTGATCCAAATATTTTTTATTCATTTCTCTTTTATTTTATGCATTTTATTTACTATAAATAAAAAAATAAAAGGCATTATATCATACAATTTAATTATAAGATATTTTATATATATTAAATAAACAAATTTATGTTTTTATATATAGTAACAAAAAAATACTAAAAAGAACTTAATTTATAAATCTTACAAGTACTATTGCAGAATATAATAAATAAAAAATTAAAATGGTGTAAAATTATGAATTAAATTTTAGTTTAATTTTTTGGATATATTAAATTAAAATTAAAATTTTCCTTTTCTATTATTTAATAAAATATACAATTTCTTTTTTACTTTATACAGTTTTTTATGCATGCACAAATCAAGCTTGCTCAATTAATAAAGAAATTAACCAACAAAATTTGGAAAGGTGATTGAAAGAGTTGTTAATTTAGGACAAAAGCTAAAGATAGTGTTGACTTTGGGCATATAAAGAACATTTTAAGTAACTAAGTAACTTTTTTTGGTATAGAAATTTAAAAATGAATAATATATGTTGACAATAGAAAAACACAAATATTTAAAACAAGAGTAATAAGTCAAAACTATTTAAGTGAATAAAAGTTTTAGCCAAACAAATTTATTATAATACATATATAAATTTTTAATAACATTACGTTGTTATAACTTATAAATGATATTGTCCGTTTGATTTATAATTTCATAATTAATATAATTGATTGGAATGATCAGCATTTTAAAAAGTGATATTGAAAATATATCTGATAACAATACGAATGTTTTATCATGTATAATTAATTAATTTTTATACTATCAAACATGATAAATATATATATATATATATATATATATATATTAAAATTATAACTTTCTTTTAAATCACATATAATTTTTACATAAAATTTAAGTTAAGTAAAATTATTATAAGAGATAAAATTATTTTACTGAGTATTTAACATAACTGCATAAACTTAAGATCATAAGGTAAGCAAAAATAATTTCTTGTTAATTGATTCACATGCTCAATATATTAAAATTATAATTTGATAGAAGATATTTTAAAAATTAATTTATTTTATATTTTATCATAAATTTATTTAAAAGGTTAAAATTTGTATTATTAACTTTTATAAAAAAACATAGATTATATTAATTTAATTAAAACAAGATATTTATAAATCATAATTTATTAAAAATATATTTTAAAATTAAAACTTTAATTTTTCTTCATATTTTTACAAAGAAAATAATATTGTATCTTATAAAAACTAATAGTTATGAAATTAAATTAAAAAACTATAAATTTGTGGAAAATCATGATTCATAGTTTATTAATAAATTATCGATAAGAGTCATAAATTTTAAAATAATAAGATTTAAAATAAGCATCAAAATAATAAATATATTTTTATTTTTATATTTTATATTTTTAATATTTATGTTCAAGTCTCGTATCTCACAAGGACACAGATTTAAACTCTACTATCAACGTAAATACTTTGTTGGTGAATAATTTATTATTATTTTTATAAAAATTATTTGAATTTTACATATGTCGTTATTCATGAGTTTTCAGCACTAAACTCACCTAATTTTTATATAAAAAATTAATTTGAGTTAATAGGTTAAAAAATCATAGACCCTGATAATTAATTTGAAGTATAAAGCGAGATTAATTTTAAAAATTAATTATAACTGATAATATAAATTAGTGAAATTAATTCAACCCATGATAACTTTTACTAAAGTCAAATTATTTGCATGTTGATTAATTGCTACAAATTTCATGTTGGATTATGTGCGACAAATCTGATGTAAAAACTCGTATTTAAGTATTTAAAGGAACAAATAGAATTATACAAAGGTTTGAAAAAGAGAAGCTGTGATCTTTTGACCTTAGCCGTTTTCGTTTGGCGCTTCCGATTATTTATTTGAAGATTTGTTTGACGTTTGTAGAGAGAACCTTTGAAGATTTCGAGAAAGAAAAAGGAAAAGCGACAGACAAACCAAACGCAACGCACTCGTTGCGACACACGAACAGTGTTCTTTTGAACATCATTTTTAATCTTTAATGTTTATAATTTTATATCAAGTTTAATTCCATAGATCGAGTTAAATCATTGAATTTTATTAAGTCAAAAAAATATTTATTACATTAAAATTATAAAAATATGATAAATATTATAAATAAATTTTTATTATAATTAATCACTTAAATTCAGTTTTAAACAGTGAAACTAACATTTTTTATTTAAATTTTAATATAATATTAATTAATTTACATATATTCACACACATATATATATATATATATATATATATTTGTTAAATTACATTTTTTATTTCAAATTTTATTTTAAATTTGACTCAAATTAATTTTTTTAAAAGTTACTATATGTATAATTAGTCTCGATAAGAATTATCATTAAAGTCTTTAAAAATTTATACGAATAAATATTAGTTCCGAAGATTTACTTTTGTATTTTAAGTTTTCAATTAACTAATAAATTTTTTTAATTAAGCACTGGTACATGTTAGACACATGATAGACCATTATTCTAATTACCATACAAGGTTTATAAATGTTTTAAAGTA